CGCAATTGCTGAGCGACCATGACACGTCGTCGTCACTGCAGCTCTCGTCGATCGCATCCCCCATGTCGTACGCGACGCTGTCCGAGTCGGCCATCGAGGGTCTCTTGGCGCTCGACGATTCGCAGAGCGGACAATCCTTTGTAAACGCGTCGTCGTTTGGCCCGAGCTTCGATCCCAGCGTTTTCGAGTCCAACATGGCGATGAAGAACGCCGATTTGAGCATCCTCGAGCACCCGGATGCGACCTTTGAGGGCCCGAGCCTCGTGGCGGTGGGGTCGGCGTGGGCGCTCGAGCTCGATGTCGAAGACGCTGTCATCGTGGCGCTTGCCGACCTCCGCGCGTCGATTGGCCACGCGCACTTTCTCGTTGTGAGCTACTCGAGCAACTGGTCGCCGGAAGACATTCAGCTGCTCTTGGCCACGCATGCGCCGGACGTACCGTACGTTGGCGGTACGATCGCGCGGGGTATCTGCGACGACGAAGCGTGGATCGCCAAGCACAAGCACAGCAACGAAGGATTGATTGCGATTTGGGGCGTGCACGACCCGCTCGGAACGTACGTCGTCGGGCACACCGAGTACGACCAGCTCTCGGCGCGGCGCGAGGTCCACCACGCCATGGCCACGTCGTACATGTCGACGGGTGCGACGCCGGTGCGAATCTCTTGGACAAAATTTGGTGGGACTCAAGACCAAGTAGGAGTTTTGCATGCTCTTTGCGAGCCCGCTGTTTATCGAAGATGCGCTGGAAGGCGCGCGGAGCGGCGCGCGGCACTGCCCGCTCGTCGGCGGCTGCGCGACGAGTGCCAACTCCAAGACGTGGTCGCAGATCAGCAGTGCGCGCGGCTTCACGCAGCTCGGGCTGAGCTACTGCCTCGCGGCGCCGAGCGTCAAGACTGTCGTGTCGTGGTTCTCGGGCTACGGGTCGCTGGCCGCTCACGACTGCGTCGGGCCCGCCACCGACGTCGCCCACAAGACCGTGCACGAAATCAGCGGTCGCCCGGCCGCCGATGTCTACTACGAGGTAGTATACAAGCCCATGATGGCGGACGTGCGTCATTCATACTGGCGTAGTGGCTCGCGATGGCGGCCGAGAAGAACCAGACAGACCTTGGCAAGACGCGGCTGCCAAAGCTTGGCAACATTCACCCGATCGGCGTGCTCATTCCCACGTCGCCGGCGTCCGGCGACCTCGTTGTGCGCAACACGCCCGTGGTCCTGGACCTCACGGCGCATTCGGTGACTGTCTCCAGCCCCATCGAAGTCGGTGCGACGATCGCGCTCATGGAGCTCTCAACCGAGACGCTGCTTGCGGCCGTTGAATCGGTACGCGCGCGTTTGGCGTTCACTCGATAGATTGATACTACGTTGCTGCGTACTAGTGGGGACAGGAAATCACGTCCCAGCATCTACTGCCGACGAGCCAAGTGACCGGGTGCTTGCTCTTCATGTCGGCAAGCGTTCAAGCTCTGCTGGGGGCGTCCGCGATGGCCGAAATGGTCGGCGCGTGCCAACGCTGGACCAAGAACGCGCCGTTCCTGGCGCTCAGCACGTACGGGCAGATTGGCCAAGCGACGGACCACGGGCACTCGACACCACTCTACGACCCGCTTATGTTTGCCTCGGTCGTCTTCACAAGCGAGAGCAAGCGCGCCAGCGACGCCTAACGCGAGTACTTTGTGATGTATGTGCGTCAAACTACTGCCGCCGAAGGGCAACGTGTGGGCTTCGAGTTGTCGCGACACACAGTGTCCTTCAGGCTTGATGGGCGTGAACACTGCCAATGCGCTGGGCAGCTTTCACATACTAGTCCCCGGTCGACGCTCTCGCGGCTTGGGTCAAACCGTGTCAAAAAAGCACCAATCAGAAAAGCGAAACATTTTGACCAATGGCCTTGCGACGTGTCGTTCGGTTGCTGACGCATCGTTGCGATGCTGATGCTGCATGTGGGCTGGCTCCTTGCGGCCTTGGCGGCGCCCGTGGCCGGCTTCTGGGGCAACGCGGAGCCGCTCTTTACGGACAGCTTCAACATCGAACCGCTGACGCAAGACACCTTTGACAAGACGGTGCTCGACGACGCGTCTGGCAACGTCTGGCTCATCGACTTTTATGCGCCGTGGTGTCCGCACTGCCGCCACTTTGCACCGCATTACGAGGCGGTCGCCGACCACTACGCGCCGTCGCCGTCCATTCACTTTGGCGCGGTCGACTGCACGGTGCACGGCGACATTTGCTCGCGCTACGAGATCCTCGGGTACCCGGCGCTGCGGGCCTTCCATCTCGAGCCGAAGGCGGTCAGTATGCCCTTCTCGCCGCGGCCAAAGTCGTTCGAGACCGTCGTCAAGTGGATCGAGTCGGCGATGGCCGAGAAGAATCGCACGACGGGGGTCGAGTTGCCCGACTTTAGCGCGTTCAAGCTCGACGGCCCCAAGAAGAACATGCGTCAGCACAAGGCCGACGACGCCACCAAGGTGGCCACCGTTGACGCGCGCGCCGATCGCCTGCGGGACGCCGGCCACGCGCTCCTCTTTGCGCTCGAGACGTCCTTCTTCATGGGCACTGACGTGCTCGACGGTGCGCGGTATGCTGCCGCGCGCGCCTGGCTGCGGCTGCTCCGGTCGCTCTTCCCGCTCGAGGCCAACAAGACGCAGCTTGGTGAGCTACTGTATCGCTTTGAGAGCCAGAGTTCGTGGAGCAGCGACGAGTGGCGCCTCCTGGTTGCGCTCTGGAAGTCGGACGTGCACGGGAAGACTTACCCGAAGGACCTCTTTTCACGCAAGAGCTTTGCGGTGTGCGAGAACTTTACCTGTGGCATTTGGCTCCTCTTCCACGAGCTCACGGTCGCCGAGATTCCTGCGACGTCGACGCTCACGCCACTCGAGGTTGCGCTCGAAATCCGGTCGTTTGTCGAGCATTTCTTTGGCTGCGAGCTCTGCCGCCTGCACTTTCTAAAAGCCAACCCGACGCCAAAGCTCGAGATGCTGCTCGGGCACAGCCACAATGCCACGAGCGCACTCGTGCTGTGGATGTACCACATGCACAACACGGTCAACGTCCGCGTCGAGCACGACGTTTGGCCGTCCAAAGCGGTACGTGGTTCGATGTTTTGGCTATGTTTGCTCGATTTTTGCTTGATTTTTCAAGCTTGCTAATTGTTGCGTGTGCAGGAGTGCAAGCGCTGTTACTCGACCGACGAAGCGACGACCGACAAGGCGCTGCTCGCCGAGCCCGCGATCCTCAAGTACATGCAGCAGGCGTACCGGTTTCCGGCTTCGGACGCCGACGTCGACCGACCGGTTGTTGACAGCGAAGTGGCCATGGCCGCCGACGGCACCGCGCTCAAGGGCGCGTCGACATGGGAAGCGTACACGCCGTCGACACCGATTGAGTTTGCGCCGTTTCTGCTGCTTGGCTTTGTGGTGTACCTTGCGTACTGCCGCAAGCACGCGCGGTCGCACGAAGCCGCCAAGGAGTCGTAGTCTCGTCTCTGTAGTACTCTTCAGCATTCGAGCAACAGTAGACACATTGCTATTACGCGCTACGAGCTGTACGAGCTCGGTGCTCTTCGAGTCTTTTCAACTAGTTTGCTTGTTTCGTGTCCAAGCAAACCCGAGGCGGTCGAGGTCGGCGCGGCGCGCGTCCGTGAGGCCGTCGTGACGCTGCGCACGCAGCCGCTGGACGATGAGGCCAAGCGGCATCCACCACAGTCGGTCGGGCCACCTCTTGTCGTTCTGCGGGACCGTAAACGTAGTCGGCACGTTCGTCGTACCATACAGCGCCTTGTAGTGCGCGAGGGCTTGGAGCTTGCGCGCCCACTCGGCCTCAAAGTACTGCCACGCAAAGCCGAGCGCGTTGAGCGCAGCCCGTCGCTCGTCAGAGAGCGTCTCGCTGGCGCGGAGGTTGGCGACAACGTGACCAAGCTCCATCTCCCACACATCGCGCGGCCACTCGAGGTCGTCTTCAGGTACGAGGAAGCCTTGGGGCACATCGACATGGCCATACAGCGCTTTGTAGGTTGTGAGCGCGCGCAGCTTCCGGTCCCACTCGGCCTCGTTCATGTCCCATACAAAGTCGAGGGCGTTGAGGGCGTCCATGCGCTCGGACGGCAGCGCGTCGGCGTGGTGGCGGAAGGTCGCGACTGCGTCGCCGAGTCTTAGCTGCCAAATCTCGGGCGGCCAGCCGTCGTGCACGGGCACGACAAAGTCTCGGGGGACGTGGAGGTTGCCATAGATCTTGCGGTACGTGGCGAGCGCGAGCAGCTTCTTCTCCCACTGCCACACGCGCACGTGCCACACAAACCCCATTGCATCCAGGACGCGACGCTTCGCGATGGGCAAGGCGCCTTGCTGCGCGAGCCGGCGAAAGCTGTACACGACCATGCCGAGTTGAAGGCCGCGCAAGTCCTTGGGCCACGACGTGTCGTCGGCAGCGATGGTAAAGCTCGGCACGATGTGCAGCGAGCCGAACCGGGCTTTGTACGCCTCGAGCGCTTCGAGGTTGCGCTCCCAGACGTGCTCACGCTGGCGCCATACGAACCGCAGCTGCTTAAGCTCGTCGATGATCTCGGGCGCGAGCGTGCCTTGCTCGTACGCGGCGCGCACGTGGTAGACGGAGACGGTCGTCGACCAAGCCGCCGGTGGCCAAGGTGCTGCATCTGGCACGCGAAAGACAGCTGGCAGCAGCGTGTAGTCCGAGGTCGGTGCCTGGAGGTCGCGGAAGACGCGGACGACGTCGACGAACGCGCGCTGCTTCTCGAGCGGCAAGCGCTTCGTGGCGAAGGTCGCCCGCTGCAGGTGTCGGAGCAGCATCGATGTCGCTTCAAGGCCATTGGTCGAATTCACGAGCGGGAGATTCCTTTGTTGCGAGTGCCGTGCCTTCTTTTTCACCGATGACTCTCTGTGCTATCGATATGACGGAAATAGTGTA